CTTTGCTAATTTTTTAGAATTATTTTAAATTTCCAAATATACTGGGGTTTGGCTATTATTGATCTTTAATTTTATTGAATTATAGTCAGAATATGGCCTGTATTGGGTCAGTTCTTTTCTGTAGGTTGAGGCTTGCTTTGTGGTCAGTTTGTGTACACATTTCTTGCATTTTTTTTAAACAGTACATATTCTATAAATTATTGGATATGAGGTCCCTTTTGTATCCAGTATGTTAACTTAACCTATTTGATCTATTAATTTCTGTGAATAGATGTTAAAAACCGTTATGATTATGGGTTTGTCAATCTGTCTTCGGTTTCTTTCCACTTTTACTTTATATTTTTTGAGACCATGTTGTCATGTGCATAACAGCTCAGGACTATTATATCTTTAGGGTAAAATTAAATCTCTAATCATTATATAATGACCATCTTTATCACTAATAAAAAAAAGTATAAACTTTATATCAGGACATTTGTTTGGGATTTCTGTTGGCTAGCATTTGCTAGGCATGTTTTTTCTACCCCTTTACTCTCAACATTTCCATTACATTATGTTCTGAGTGTGTTTCTTGCAAAGGCTTTTTGAATATCTGCAAATTTCGGGCTTTTATTTGGTGTTAGAGCCATATGTGTTGTGATTAGAGACAAATAAGGATTTTTCACACACCCCCCATTTACTGTGCTTTTTTTATTGCTTTGTTTTCTTCTTTCTTGCTTTTCATTGGCTTAATCAAACCTTTATTTCATTTTCCCTTAGGCATTTTATAGATTCCATTCCACCCTTTTTGTGTATACTCCCAAAATCTAATACACGTGTAATTAACTTAAAATCTTCCTTACTTAGTTAATAAGTAGCTCTATGTACATATCCCAAATGATGAGAACCATAGAATGCTTTGACTTTTTAAAGCCCCTCCTATCTTCCATGCCATTTTTTCACTCTGTTTTTCAGTGCCCTGAAATTAGTCATCTTGTTATTGTTTTATGCAGATAGAGCTTGATTAGATTGACCCCTTGCTCACCATGGCTTCTGGAATCCTGTTCTTGCCACTAGGTTCAGTATGCTTCCTGCAGATGTATATACCCCTTAGTATTTCTCTGAGTAAGGATCTGTGCGTGAACACCCTTGGCATTTGTCTGGAAAATACTTTTATTTTATCCCCACTCTGGAGTACAGAAGTTAGGTTGGCAGTAATTTTCTCTGAGCTCTTTGATGAAATTTTTCCATGATCTTCTAGCTTCTTTGTGCTGAACGGAACTGTTTTCATCATAATTGCTGTCCTTTGGCAAAAATAACTGGGTTTTTGTGTGTTTTTGTTTTGTTTTGTTTTTAGGATTTTGATTGTTCTTTGGCATTCTGCAGTTTCTTTAAAATCTATATAGGTTATATTATCTTTTTAATTTACCATGTTTGAGACTCAGTTAGCTTTTCTGAATCTGGAGATGTTGTGCTTTTACTAATCCTAGAAAAACCTCAACTGTTGTTCTTTTTGAATATTGCTTCCATGTATGACCTAAACCTCAACATCTCTCAGCTTTTCAAGATCATCCCTCCCTCACTCCCTCTGCTCTACATTTCCAGCCTCTTGTACCTGTTGTATCAATCCCATCAACAAGTGAGCATGCCCTAATGTCTCCCATTTTTTACTTAAAAAAAAAAAAAAAAAATTCTCCTTGACCCAAATCTCCCTGGGGTCTCTGGAGCTATTTCGTTGCTCTGCTGGACATCATAGCCAAATTTCCGGACAAATTTGCCTACGCATTTCTCCACTTCCATACCCCCCCATTTATTCTTCGTGTCACTTGAGTGTGACCTTGGCCCTCACCGATGCAGCAAGACTGCTCTCACCAAGGTTACTAGTAACTTCGTGTGTCTGAATCAGTGTTGAGTCCTCATCTAACTGGACGTCTTCCCAGCATTGAACACGGTTGACCACTCCTTCCCTAAAATACTGTTCACCCTTTGGCTTTCGAAGCACTTGACTCTCTTGGTTCTGAGTGTTGGAGCACAGAGGGCTTGGGTTGAGCTCTATTTTCTTCACTTTCTGCTCTCCATCCCTAATAGTTTTTGTCCATTTACACAATTTTAATTACCGTTTATTTGTCAGGGGTGAGCCAAATGTACGCCTCCAGCCCTTACTCCTCTGAGCTATTGAATTATGTGTGAATTCCTGCTCTCAGGAATTCAAAGGCTCCTGCTCGCCTTTGAACTTAAATTGTCCAGAGCTCAGTTCTTGAATTTCTCCCCCAAAGGGGGTCTTCCTTATCTCAGCAAAGGTCCTCACCATCCACCTGGTTTCTAAAGCTAGAATCTAGGAGTCATTCTCCACTCCTCTTTTCCTCCAAGAGCCACGTTTATTCTATTATTAAGCCTTATGAATTCTGTCTTTGAAATATATCTCCAATCCATCCACTTCCCGTCTCCACCTTCAGTACCCTGATCTTGGCCTTGACCATTTCTCAACTTGAAGAAACTACCACCTGATTTCTGAATCTCTTTCACTACAAATGTTCTCCCATCCGTTTTCAACATGGTGGTCAGAACATCTTTTTTCTTAAAAAATCATCTTCCTACTTAAAGCCCTTCAAGAGCTTCGTATTGGACCTAGATTAAAAGAAAATCTATACTCGTTACTAAAACCTTTAAGGCCCTTTCCTACCTTCGGCGTCATCCGAGTTCTCGCCCTCGCTCTGGTGTTCTGGCTACCCTGGCCTTTAGTCCTCAGTCACAGCAAGCTCTTTCGCTTGCAGGGCCTCCTAGCTTCCTTCTGCCTGGAATGTTCTCCAACCCTGCCCCCACCAGACCGGCTCTTCCCCTCTTTCAAGCAGCGCGAGGTCACCTTTCAAAGAGCAGCCTTCCCCACCACTGTGGATAACCCTGGGGCCCCTCTTAAGTCTCTCTAGTCACAACCTTCTTTTTTCTTTTATAGTCCTTTCCACACAGTTTATTCTATTGATCTGGCCATTGCAACAGTATATGAACAGCCGACTAACTTTGTTGCCGTTATTAACCACAACGTCCCTTTAGAGTCTTTCTAGTAAATTATGAAGAATCCTTGGATTGCTAAATTTAGAAAATGCTCAACTACCAATAGACCCCCTTACTGAGGGATTCTTTCAGTATCACGTTGAATCTGAGCGAGCCTCTGAATGAACCATGGCATTCTGGCTCTGCAAGAGGGCAGGCACTCCCTGGGATAAATTCTCTGCATTCCTACAAGGAGGCCTTGTCATATCTTAGCGCTGTTTCCTTACAGCACATTTACCCATTTTTAGTAAAAACAATTCCGAGAGGTGGTTTGTTTTTTTTTTTTTTTCATTGTTTTTTCAAAGCAGAAATAGTATACTGGGCAGTTTGCAAGTGATAAACTAAAATACCAAAAGACCATTATAACTTAGCTTTGTTGCATAGAAACCATGGTCGTAAATTGTTCTTTTTTTAATTTTTTTTTTAACTTGTGTGCACTCTCTCGGCCTTTACAAATCTGTGAGTTCCAGTAGAACGGAACCAGATCTGTTTTGTTTGCCATGTTATATATACCCAGTTACTGGCATAGATAAATACATAAAGATCTCAAAGTGATGCTTTTTTTCAATTTCAATTTTAATTTTAAATAAACCCTGCATTCAACATGGGGCTCAAACTCATGACTCTGAGATCAAGAGTTGCATGTTCTACTGACCAAGCCATCCAGGAGCCCCTGATGTTTCTTCTTCTTCTTCTTCTTCTTCTTCTTCTTCTTCTTCTTCTTCTTCTTCTTCTTCTTCTTCTTCTTCTTTTTTTTTTTTTTTTAAGTAGGGCTCTGATGAGCGTCTTCCCAAACGGTATCCATAGTTGTTATCGTCCTATCTTTTCGTGTTAAATAAAAATAGCATACTGGCCTCCCAGTCTGCTAAAGGAATAATATCGCCTGCATTTCTTTTATTTGTCGATGGAGGCTTACAACTCGGAAAGTCCTTTGCAATGTCTCCTAATATTTTAATTTTGTAAAAGTAGGTTTGTATGTCTCCAAGTAGACTGCCTGTGGTGGGTTTCGGCTGACCATGGCCACGTCTGCTTTCAAGGAATCTCCTGGTTCTGTGTCTTGAAGTTCACTGGTGTTAGAGGACAAGTATTTTTGTTTTGTTTTTGTTTTAAATCGAGACTTCACACACGGTCTAGTCGCAAGAGGACCTGTGCCTGAATAACTAAAGATAAAACCATCCTTACTTCATCATATTCAAAATATTTAACTGTCTGGGGTGCTAACCAATAAGACTTGTGCCTTGGCCAATCAGAAAGGGCTTCCGGTTTGCACACCCGTAGGCCACACCCGGCCATGCTGAATCCAGACCCTCTCTCTAGGGAAGGCAATTCTATAGACCCTACTGGTAACCTTCATGTTCAGCCAACTCCTCTCTTTTTAATGCCTGGTTTGGGGGGTTGTTTGTTTG